CCTCATGTCACCAACTGCATCATTATATCAGCCAAGTAGAGAATCAATTTCTGCACAAAATACAAGGTAAAGGAAAGACAGGGTTGCATTTTTAACTAGCTAGTCATTGGCTTTTTTTTTCATTCAAAGAAAATCAGACTTTGTAGGCTTACAGGTTTACCTGCCTTTCTGTTGGTGTATATATTTAAATCATTGCTTCATTATTTGATACATTGTCTGCAGCCCATGCATTTCAGGGGTCATCAAGAGTTCTATTGCGACAGTTGTGAGTTAGTCTTTAGACTTCAAGAGCAAACTGAGGGCAGTATGTAGTTTTCAGAAACCAAGATGTGAACTGACTAGTTTATTTTCATGCATTTTCTCACTCCTCAATAATATAATTATGGAGCTTTCAGGGCAAACTATGGCAAGCTGAGCTGAACACAAAGCGACAGTGCTCCCAACTGAAGCACCCAGAAACAGTTCAGATAAAGGCTGGGAGAAGAGAGGAGGCATACATCATTTCCCACTTAACAAAAACTAGCTTGCACTCATGCCATCTTCAGTTTTTTTCCCAGATGTTGTCAGGGGAAGAAAGTATTAGAACATAGTTATGCCATATACAGCACAGAGGGGAGCAAGATCTCACAGGAACTTTAGAAAATACCACCAAATAGGCACCCATTGACTAGAAGAATAAGAAGCTTTTCTGTATGCAAACATTAATAGTCAGAGCAAATCTAGATATAGGAATTTAACTCATAGTACTATGCAGACTGTACTCCAGTTTCTCTCTCACTTGAGGGTTAGGAAGACTAGTATTATCTGAAGTGTCCTCATTTTTCTAAATACACATTTTACTCTGCTAAAATTTGAGGGAGTAAACTGAGAGTATGAACGAGTTGTGGCTCAGGCATGGAATATTTTCTTGAGAGTGCCTTACTTTATAGGGACTTTAAGTTATGAGTGGATGGCTGAAAGCAAGGTCACAGCTGAGGTACAATGGCAACCACTGTAAACCTGTTCTAACTGTGGAATGAATGTGTGGACTTATCTTGTCATGATGGTGAATGAATTTTTCAATTTCGGCGGAGTAAGAGCATGCATGTGGTGAGTTATAGTGCTTTAGTTACAAATGAGTAGTAATTTCCTAAACTACTGTAATTAACCTAATATAAAATAATGATATAACCAGGAAAACACTCCAATATATTTCAATTCTATCCTCCTAATTAAAAAAAAATAAATTACAATCATTTAATTATCTTATCCTTACCTTTTCTCAGAAAGATTTAAACATGTGCTGACCCTCATCTCTGACACACCTGAAAAATTTAGCATCCTTCCTTTTATCCCAAAGTTTAACTTCCTATCCAGGGCCTTGACTGCACTAATAGGTCTTAAGTGCCCTGAACCAGCCTCAGCTGGGGCTTCCACCCACACCCTCTGATGGGAACTTCACTTAAGTTCAGGCTTTAAGTAAAATCATAGAGTGATTTAGGTTGGAAGGGACTTTGAAGATGTCCCATCTGGCCTGGTCTTGGGCACTTCCTGGGATGGCGCATCCACAGCTTCTCTAGGCAACCTGTTCCAGTGCCTCACCACCCTCACAGTAAAGAACTTCTTCCTAGTATCTAATCTAAATCTACCCTCTCTCAGTTTAAAACCGTTACCCCTTGTCCTATCACTATGCTCCCTGATGAAGAGTTCATCCCCATCTCTACTGTAGGCCCCCTTTAAGTACTGGAAGGCTGCTGTAAGGTCTCCCTGGAACCTTTTCTTCTTTAGGCTAAACAACCTCTACTATCTGCCTATCCCCACAGGGGAAGCGCTCCAGCCCCCTGATCATCTTCGTAGCCCTCCTCTGGACCTGCTCCAACAGGTCCTTCTTACGCTGGAAGGACAGAGTTTGAGATGAGTTGTAGGTGTCCTTGCTGCTAGTTCTGCTCATGAGTTGCTGTTTGGGTTTCCTGGATTGACCTTGGAAATGGCTTGTTACCTTGCCTCTGCCTGATGGTCACTGGACCACTGGACCTGTTGCTGCCACTGCTCTGCTTGCTTTTCTCTGGTGTGGTCAGACTGTGCTGTGTTGGTGAGGTCTTTGTCTGGCTGGTATTGTGGTCACCCTCAGCTCCTCCCTTCCTTGCCCTGAGGGAGAGCAGTAAGAGCTGGGTGAGGTTCTTTAGGGCCACTAAGGCCCTGTACACTCAGGACTGATATTATTTTGCTCTACAGCATGTTTCCCAAGATAAAGTGTCCCCCTCCCCCTGGCCACGTCTGCTGTCAGCACCATTTGCTTTAATCAAAAAATAAATACATTTCAGTGTTGCTCATTATGCTAAATGAAAGCAACAGGGGGCTAATGAGCATTGTGAATGAGCCATTAACATGGCAATCAGAGGTATTCTCAAGATAGCTACATCTTTTCTGCGTCTTTCTTGGAATACTCAATAGCATATAAAGATGTGACCTCATCTATGAAATTTAATTCAGGGAATAAATAGATTTAGATGTCTAATTTGAGTGGTTTCTTTTTGTAGAAATGTACATTGTGTTACTCTTGCAATTAAGACAGAAAACTGCTAGTTCAGTTTGTCCAACTGCTAAGGGGTTATTCTTAGCTTTCAGTGGACAAGATTAAAAGACTTAATGTTCAGATTTTTTTGGAAACTGAAATATTATCCCTCTCCCCTACCCCCCCCCCACAGGTTTTCATCACAAAGAGGAAATGTACCTGAAATAATACATTTACTGGTGACTTCATCTTTGCGATTGATTTAATGTGGTTTAACACTGAACAGCATTTTTATTTTTCAGAAAGGGCCTTCATCTCCAGCCTCAGCTCCTGTCTGGGTTCCTGTCCCTTGGCTCTTGGGATCACATTTCACAGGGGGGCTGGCATGCCTTTGCTCAAGGGAGTACTTCTCCTCAGTCCTCGTAAGAAGGTAGTAAGACCAGCCTGAAACAGCATCAAAAAAGACATGTGCTTAGAGAAAGGCCAATAGGGAAGAGGGGAAACCTACCTGTATTCAATGATACTGAGAATGTATCTTTCAAAAGGCCAAGGAAAGGAGGATAGGCAAAAAACTATTCAATGTCTTTTAAAATTTGCTACAGTGAAGATTTTTAAAAGACTCAATTCTCTGCACATTGATATAATTGCCTCCACAGAAAGCTTTAGAGGAGATAAATTGCTAAACACTGCCTTGTGGGTGGAGAAACAGAAAAGATGAGCACCTCCCCAAGGTGTTAACAGTGGTCAGTGGCAAAGTGAGGAAAAACCAGGAGGATACAGCTCCTAGCTTTGATTTCCGTCTCACTTTGAGGGTTTTCCCCATGTTGCAATCTTAGCTCCTGTGACAGGTTCATCTATTTAGGCCAAGTAATTTTTACGTCTGACCTTCTGGAATGAACTAAGAGCCAGCAGACAGCCATTTCTATTCAAGTTTACAGCTTTTCTGGAATTTTTGGGGGAGTGAACACAGTGCACATCCATAGCCAGAATTATTAAAAGTTCTCCAAACAAAATATAGAATGCAGAACTTGAACTACATTTATTTCTTTTCCTTCTGTGTCCCCATTTTCACCACTCCCTGTGGTATCAGTGGAAGGGTATCCACATGGCAAAACCAACCCAGCTCACCCACTGATAAAAACGTATGCAATCTTCTCCTGCCTTGGGTCATCTGAAGGTAGGCTTGTATCCCACGCATTTGCTCTGCAATGCTATGACTTGTCCCCAGGTGATGCCCTCAAATGAAAGCAGTGTCTCCTGGTGAGGCCCAGTGCTCAAGGCCGTGTCAGCCATTACAGGACCCCCTGCAGCACTGCTTCAGGCAACAGTTGTCTTGAAACATCAATCTCTCCTCCAAAGCTTGACTGACTGCTCATTTGCTGCTATCCTTTTGTGATGTTACTCCCAGACTAGCCCAGGTCAGTTAAGTCTGTAAAGAAAAGGAAGCTGTGGCCGTGCTATGGGAATGGCAGGCTGTGAACACACCCAGCACCTGGCCCCAGTCAGGCCGTCAGTTACAGCGATCTGTGCTCCAAGTGCTAAAATAACACGTGGAGGGCAAAACTGCCTGGGTTCCTTTTCCAAATTTGGCTTACTTTCTCCCCCCCCACCCCCCAAACTCTGAAAAATTAAGACGATCGGGGCTACCGCGCTGAGGTCGCTGAACGCTGCCGGCGAGCGGGCTCGTTACAGCGGGTGCCATCC